GCTGTGTGTTATTTTACCGTTTAGGCCATGTCCAAGCAAAATATCTAGGAATGGGAGTGTGTTATTCACCTCCATTTCCATGGTGAACTGGATGGCCGGGTTTTGTGCATTGAGATGATTTAGAAAATCATTAAGTGTATCTTTACCATGTGGCCAGACAACCAAAGTGTCATCCACATATCTAAACCAAAAAGATGGTTTTAATGTGCTCGAGGCAAGTGCTCTTATTTCAAAGTTTTCCATGTACAAATTTGCTATAGCAGGGGATTAAGGAGAGCCCATTGCTGCTCCTTCCTTTTGTTTAAAGAAATCCCCTCTCCATAAGAAGTAAGTGTTATTTAAACAATGGTCAGCAAGTTTCGGAATATCTTTTGGTAAACCGGTATTCTTTACTAGTGTATCAAGTAATTTAAGCGATTCTTTCACCGGAGCCTTAGTGAATAGAGAAATCACATCAAAACTTACCAGAATATCATCAGGAGTAAGTTTAATATCTTTAATCACATTCACAAGATGTTCTGATTTTTTTTATGAATGAAGATGTCCTACCGATATAGGGCTGTATTTGTTTGGTTATATATTTTGCCAATTGATATGTGGCAGAGCCAATTGTACTGACTATGGGTCGTAATGGGATGCCGATTTTATGAATCTTTGGTAGCCCATAGAGTCTAGGTGGTTTTGAGACCCTTGGCTTAATTTGGTATTGCTAATTTTTAGGGATGAATGAATTTGCAATTATTGCAGTGGTCTTACGTTCTAAAGTATTAGTTGGATCTCGTTTAATTTTAATGTAGGTACTTTCCTCTAGTAAATTTCTAATTTTATTATCATAATCGGCTCGTGACATCACTACAGTAGTGCGGCCTTTATCAGCTCCTAGGATTTGCATATCCTTATTTACACGCATCTCTCTTAAGGCTTTTGCCTCATTAGAGCTAATATTTACTTTTGGAACTTTTCTATTCTCAATTATTTTGGCAACCTCATGTCTAGTCATTTCTGCCTCATTATGTGGAAGGAGTCTAACTGCTGATTCTACCTCAGCAAGTATCTCATCCACTGGAATTGTGCGTGGGGTAACGGCAAAGTTAAGGCCTTTAGAAAGGACAGAGATCATGTCACTGGTTAAAACAGTGTTAGTCAAGTTCATTACGGTTTTGTTTTTAAATTGTTCGTTTTTAGTAGGGATTTGTTTATTATGAAGTCTAGAAAATTTATTAATTTGCTTAGTTTTTGTTAGATTAAACACATTATCAGCCGATTGTTGTGTTATGGTATCGATTATATTCCAATAATGCATATATACACTATTGCTTATATCTAAGTGTAACTGCTTTAGCGATTCCGAAATGTAAGATAATTCCCTCCTGTTGTGCTGTGTTCTCTCTATTAATAATAATTCGCTAGCTTTGTGTAGTATTTGGTTAGCTTTAGAAGACTTTATGTGATGTGTTATTTTAACTGCGTTTGGTATTACCTTTGAATCTCTGCACCTTTTGAGGAACGCCAGTGAAGATATAAATTTCATCCGCTTAATGCGGACGGAGCTTCTCCAATTTTCTGGTTTTAAGAAAAGTATCCTCCCCATAGAGGTTAGTCAGTTTAACACATAGGCTTTCGCGACCAATATTATTCATAATAAAGGTTTTTGGGTTAGATCGCGTTATTTATAAATGTGTTCCTTATAGGGGAAACACATACTAATTAACGGATTACTAACATAGCATATAATCACTAACACACATTACAACTAATTACTAATCTACAACTCATTACTAATCATAACCATTGACTGATTACTAATCGATTATATAATTACAATACCCCCCCCCTCTGCCTCAAATCACTGCATCTGATATGAGTTAAATGATGACGTCACCCTGCTGCTCTATTTAAAACAAGGAGCAAGCGAGGGCTTTACCATTCTGGCGAATTGCCCGATGATGCTGGATGTAATTACCAACGAAACGTCGTACTCAAACTGTAAATGTTGTGGACTCACTCTTCAACACACCGGTGGGCTAAAGTAGTGAATTATTTGTCTTTTGTCAACGTGGCACTTATTTTGCTGATTGGCCGTGTCGGGTGGTGGAGGGTTACGACACATTTATAAATAACGCGATCTAACCCAAAAAACCTTTATTATGAATAAATAGCCCCGCCCACTTCGTTTATGACCCTTGGGCTACACCCATTTCAAACCTTTAAAACAGTCTGCCTCAGCAGCTTTCCTCACTTTTTTCCACCTGATGACGACTGCTTGCATTGCGATTGAAACGTCGTGATCTATTATGCTTTCTACCTACGTGACTTTACCAAAAGAACCAAAGAGTATGGATTCCTGCAGTCACGAAAGATTCAAATCAAGATCAAATTTTAAAATCCAATAATAACAGGATAACACAAATATTAGGATGTTTGATAACACAACCATTAGGATGTTTGTGTTATACAGCGGGTGACAAATTCTGACTTAAATAAACAATACATGTGATGGAATAAACTGCGTCTATTTAGTTTTTGCCCCTCTTAGTTATTCTTTAACAGTATTGGTCATTTTGTTGTCACAAAGACGATCTATAGTGACCCATTCCCTGTCGTATATAATACATTGTTAATTACCTTTGCGTTAAATACAGGAATATTAATGCTATACAGTACTTTATATGTGTATCTCCGTGTCTCTCTGACTCCGTGTCTGTGTGTTTTGTTTTCGTCTCAAAGTCTTTGTGTGTCTTCGTGTCGGTGTTTTTCTTGGTTTCCGTGCGGGTATTCGGGTGTGGCTGAATCTCATGATTTAAGTGTCGCCCGCGCATTTGCAATGATCACGGCGCATGTTTTGCTACAAAATATGTTTGCCGATAACCGCGGGTGAGAACAACTCATACATCGCGGATAAACGAGAGGAAAAGGGGCATTGGTAATAGTCGGAGTCGAGGGTAAAGGCACCGTGGATAAGAGTTCCCCTGTACAGTATTCAAATGGCAAGTTAAAACATTTCTTTCAAAGAGAATTGTATTACTTGTCAGTCTCCAGCTTTCACTCCCTCTATCTCTCTGGCCGCTCTGAAGAAGGCTCATTACCCTAAACGTCAACTATGTTGACACTGTATTTTCATGTAAAACCACAGTTGTATTGATGCACATGTTGAGGTTATTTTAAAAATGTATACAAACTTTTAAAAATAGTTTTTCCAAGGAAGTCATGCAAAACCTGCACTGTATGCAGCTCACATTGTTAACGAAACACTGTACTTGCTCCAAATCGAGTACTCTACTGGTGGTTCAGATGTCTTGTGACCCGCCCAATTTATTGACCCTTACAATGTGTTTGCTTTCCAGATTTATTTCCGCTTCAAATACATCTTACTAACAAAATATGACGATTTAGTAGATAATTAAATGGTGATCACAAGACATCTGGGCCATCACCCTGCACAGTGTTTCCGGTTTGACCACTTCTCTGAAACGACACCGAATCGCACAGAATGTGGAGAATGTAGAGGAGCTGCAGTCGCAGATTGCTGGGTGTCGTTAGTCTAGAAACTGGCACGGTAAATTAATCTTAGTCTACATGTACTTTTGAGAGACATTAACAGTGTTTAATATTTGAGTGTTTTACACTCATAGCCACTGGTGATCCAGCTGGGGTTTCTACTTTAGAAATGTTCAAGTGCCACAAGGCGTATTTGCATGATTTTACAGTGAAGTATTTCTCAAGCAAAGCTACATAACAGCGATGTTCATCGTTAGCTTCGTGCTCCAGTATTACCATTTTGATACCATGTTTGAAACGAAGCAGCCAGGACAATTGACAGTAATGGGGCTGATCTCTGGAATGATCTTTTTTACGTTAATCTCAATTGTAAGTGTGTAATACAGTTTACCACTACGAGAAGATGCTTTCTACTCCTCAGCTGCTCCTGATCTATTTGGTTATCCAACATTGCCTCCCATAATCTCCAAGCTTCTGATCACAATTGACATCAAGCCGATGGCAAGTGTCGCTATTTTCCTTCTGCTGCCCAAATGGTTTTTACTTTCTCAAATGCCCGTGATTTTTCTCTGTTGCTTCTCAGTGGCGCTTAGACAATGGGAGGTTGACACTTATTTTGGGCTGCTCTAAATTTAAAAAAAAATACACGATGTGAGGTCTTTCATTCTCGTTGGCTGCTCCTTCAGTTTCGGCTAGCCTGTTTCTTGCCGTTAATGTTTCAGATATTTTAACTATTTAAGAACTAAATATTTATATCTTCACTATTGTGTATAATTACACCTATCTTTAAATGTACATATGAATACTCTTAAGATGTCCTCCTAACCTTTGGGGCTCCGCAACCATCACAATGCAGGGTAAAACATAAATCTTTGGATAACAGAATCTGATTATTTATTTATCCTGGAGGAATCCGATGAGCTATGAAGCTCTTTTTTCACAGATGTCCAGTACCTATAAGGCAGGTAACACGATCTGTAGTTAAATAAAATCTCTATGAATGATAGAACAAACTCTGTAAAAAAGTAAGACTCGATTTTAAAATCCAATAAAAGCAGGTGACAAATTCTGACTTAAACAAAACATTTGATGGAATAAACTACGTCTATTTAGTTTTTGCCCCTCTTAGTTATTCTTTAACAGTGTTGGTCATTTTGTTGTCACAGAGACAATCTATAGTGATCCATTCCCTGTCGTATATAATACATGGTTAATTACCTTTGCGTTAAATACAGGAATATTAATGCTATACAGTACTTTATATGTGTATCTCCGTGTCTCTCTGACTCCGTGTCTGTGTGTCTTTGTTTTTGTCTCAAAGTCTTTGTGTCTTCGTCTCGGTGTTTTTCTTGGTTTCCGTGCGGGTATTCGGGTGTGGCTGAATCTCATGATTGAAGTGTCGCCCGCGCATTTGCAATGATCACGGCGCATGTTTTGCTACAAAATATGTTTGCCGATAACCGCGGGTGAGAACAACTCATACATCGCGGATAAACGAGAGGAAAAGGGGCATTGGTAATAGTCGGAGTCGCGGGTAAAGGCACCGTGGATAAGAGTTCCCCTGTACAGTATTCAAATGGCAAGTTAAAACATTTTTTTCAAAGAGAATTGTATTACTTGTCAGTCTCCAGCTTTCATTCCCTCTATTTCTCTGGCTGCTCTGAAGAAGGCTCATTACCCTAAACGTCAACTATGTTGACACTGTATTTTCATGTAAAACCACAGTGTTATTGATGCACATGTTGAGGTTATTAAAAAATGTATACAAACTTTTAAAAATAGTTTTTCCAAGGAAGTCATGCAAAACCTGCACTGTATGCAGCTCACATTGTTAACGAAACTGGACTGTACTTTCTTCAAATACAGAACTCTGCTGGTGGTTCAGATGTCTTGTGACCCCCCAATTAATTGACCCCTAAAATGTGTTTCCTTTGCATATTTATTTCTGCTTCAAATACATCTTACTGACAAAAATATAACGATTTAGTAGAGAATTAAATGGTGATCACAAGACATCTGGACCACCACCCTACACGGTGTTTCCAGTTTGACCACTCCTCTGAAGCGACAATGCAAAGCACGGAATGAGGAAATTCTAAAAGGAGCTGCGGTCGCCGTGTTTCGAGATTGCTGGGTGTCGTTAGTCTAGGCACGGTACATTCATCTTCATCTACATGTACTTTTGAGAGACATTAACAGTGTTTAATGGTTAAGTGTTTTATACTCATAGCCACTGGTGAGCCAGCTGGGGTTTCTTCTATAGAAATGTTCAAGTGCCACAAGGCGTATTTGCATGATTTGACAGTCAAGTATCTCTAAAGCTAAGCAACATAACAGCGATATTAATTATTCATCGTTAGGTTCGTGCTCCAGTAGTACCATTTTGACACCAAGTTTGAACGATGCAGCCAAAACAAGTGGCAGCAATGGGGCTGATCTCTGGAATAATCTTGTTTACGTTCATCTCAATGGTAAGTGTGTAATACAGTTTATACCCACTACGAGAAGACGCTTCATACTGAGCTGCTCATAATCTATTTCGTTATCAAACATTGTCTCCCATCATCTTGCCAAGCCTCCGATGACTATTGACATAAAGCCGATGGCAAGTGTCGCTATATCCTTTCTGCTGCCAAAATGGTCTTTTCTCTCTCAACTGCCCGTGACTTTTCTTCGTTGCTTCTCAGACAATGACAATTGACACTTATTTTGGGCTGCTTTCAATATAAAAAAACAAATACACGATGTGAGGTCTTTTATTCTCGTTGGCTGCTCCTTCAGTTTCGGATAGCCTGTTTCTTGCCGTTAATGTTTCAGATGTTTAAACTATTTAATAACTAGATATTTATATCGTCACTTGTGTATAATTGCATTACACCTCTCTTTAAAAGTACATATGAATACTCTTTAGATGTCATCCTAACCTTTGGGGCTCTGCAACCATCACAATGCAGGGTAAAACATAAATCTTGGGATAACAGAATCTGAATATGTATTTATCCTGGAGGAATCCGATGAGCTATGAAGCTCTTTTTCACAGTTGTCCAGTACCTACAAGGCAGATAACACGATCTATAGTTAAATAAAATATCAATGACTGATATAACAAACTCTGTAAAAAAGTAAGACTCGATTTTAAAATCCAAAAAAACCATGATATCACAAACATTAGGATCTCACATTGCTTTTGTATCTCACTGCTACATAGCAGGCTGTCACACACCCTTACAAGAAGCAGCAGCAGCAAAGCCATCGACAATGGAAGCATATGAGTTTGAGCTTGATTTGAAGCTTTCGTGACTGCAGGAATCCATACTCTTTGGTTCTTCGGTAAAGTCACGTAGGTATAAAATAAAATAAATCACGACGTTTCGATCGCAATACAAGCGGTCGTCCTCAGGCGAAAAAATAGAATCCAGCAGTGGAACTGCTGAATCAGCGAGACAGCTGTTATAACAAGAGGCTAATATGTGGCGATGGGCATGCAAGTGGGGTCTGAGCTGGAAAGGAATTCCACCCCCGCACGCAAGCACGTCAGTTGTGTTAATGGGGGAGATTAGGGAGAGAGGGATTAGGGAGGGAGATTAGCGTGAATGAGCTTCCGTCGCCGCATAAGAGTATCATGTCCGCATATGCACACAGCAGTGTTAATGAGAGATTAGCACCATGAGAGTGCAATCCAAAGTACATGTGAGCATGAGAGTGCAATCCAAAGGGAATGTGTGCATGAGAGTGCAATCCAAAGGACATGTGAGCATGATAGTGCAATCCAAAGGACAAGTGAGGGATCTTAGAGAGAGGCATAGAGAGTGAGAGACACAGATAATTGGAAATAACAGCTGACATAGGCAGGAAGGATGGGAACATCACAGTCAGTTAAGACTTTACCTGGTTAATAACGCTCTTGAGTCTGTTTACGTGACAACCCTTACTAGTTGGTTGTGTTGGGCAGTGGCAGTTGAACGACACATATTTACGTGATCTAACCCAATAAACCTCTACTGTGGTTCACAGGGTAAGTTTTTAATTTCATTATTTTGAATCGCTTATGATTTCATAATATACAGTGGTACCTCGGAGATCGAACTGAATTCGTTCCAGAAGGCCATTCGAACACCGATTTGTTCGAACACTGAATTAATTTTCCCCATAAGAATGAATGTAAATGACATTAATTGGTTCTAGACACAAGAAATATCTCATTATAAAGCATTTTTACACGAAGTTTACAGTAATTACATGCATAAAATCATAAAAAAACAATAAATAAATGGAATAAATTAATAAATATATGAAATAAATTAACATTGAACCTCACTTTACCTGTCGTAAGGAGAGTTGATGGCTTGAGTGGAAGGTAGTGAGGAGGTGGTGGTGGTGGTATTATTGTTTGGAAGGGGAGTCCCCTTCCAAAATAACGTCGGGGAACTGCCCTTCTGGGGTTCTTTCTATTTTGTGCCTCTTCTCTGCCACTAACTGAGTCACTTGAGCTCTTTCTGACTAATAACGTATCTAAAGAGGTTTGTTTCTGCCTCATACGGTAAAACCTTTGTCTGGGCAAGCGTCATGCACGCTGGCCATACGCGTCTCAGCCATACAGGTTCTTTCAAGTTGTGATTGCCCGTTCGACCTCCGAATTTCGTTGGGTTTCCGAGGCAAAATTTTTTCGGAAATATTGTTTGAACACCGATTTGTTCGAGTTCTGGTGCATTCGATCTCCGAGGCTCTACTTTATATGTATTCATCTTTTGCAAAATAGGGCGGTGAAGCTTCCCTCTCCAGCCGACTTGGTTATAAAGGACCTGTGTTCCAAGAGGAGTCGTTAACAGAGGTATTACTGTATTTACTTACCTTAGAAATAATTTTGTGTTACACTTAATTAGATCTGTATAAAATATTAACACGTTGCATAATACATGATACAATGATATATAATTGTTAGCAACATCATCAAATAAACGTGAACATCAATATCAACATGATCATATCTGCAGCATTAACCTTTTTATGCAGAGCCACAGCCCATCATCTGAAGTTAAGCTTTTGTCCAGAAAGTATGAAGGCCCATTGCAATATTTGCCTGGTCAAGACTTGTCAGTGACATGGGCCATGATGCTGGGTACTCTGTAAAAAAAAAGGAACTGCATCATCAGCATAGTTGAGATCAGTAAACAGTTTGTCCCCAGCAACCCTTAATCAATATTTTATCCTTTTTGTATCTAATAGATTTGCCAAATTCTGAGTAAAGGTTTTGGTTAGCCTCATTTCTCAAGTTTAGAATACTGTGAGAATGGGCCTGCCACTTTCTCTTAGCTAACTGGAACCTCCATCAGCCTGTTTCTTGGGCAGTGTGCTTGACTAATTTTCAGAGGGGGGGCCACTTTCGCCGATAACACATCATCAGTGTGAGGGCCGCCACACATTTGAAACCATTGGGGTTGACAGCAGCACAATGGGGAGTGTTTTCACATTTGTGTAATGTCGGGGGATGCACGTCAGGGGGCGCACTAAAGGCCACTAGGCGCTGCGAGTGGCCCGCGGGCCTTGCAATGAAGCACACTGATGTAGGGCGATCTGGACTGGCTAACCAGCACAGTAGTCGCACCTGCACGTGTCCGAGTCCCAAACCTACCCATCTCCCCTCGGCATCAGGAGAGGGGAATTATGTCATTCCTAAATGTAAACAATGCTCGTATTCTCGATATCAATGTTAACTGTACAGAGCCCAAATAATTATGGGGTTGATGGTCAAGAGTAGGTATTCACAATTAGTCTTTTTAAATAATGTTTAAAATAGAAATTTCAAGTCGAATATTTGTATTATTATTTAAGTAATACATTATTTTTTTCGTTTTTCCTTCAGGGCAATAGAACGAAATGAGACTGGAAAATGTAGGCATACAGTATAGACAAGACAGTACAAGCAAGGCAGTACACATACAACAGACAGTACAAACGATACACTGTGCGAAGCAGACGAGGCTTAACAGGCAAGACAAAAATATATTGAATTGATCTTGAATCACGATAATAAGTAGAGTCGCAGGGGATATGGAGTAGAGTGAATCGTTACCTGTATTATTGAGTCATTGTTGCTTACACGTAGCTGTGCCCTAACTCTTGTTCTACTTTAATTTTATGTTAAGGTTGAGTATAATGAATGCGAAGATAAAGGACAATACAGAGCAGTGAAAGGGTTTTGCTGCCACCTCTGTCCTGCAGGTAACCAAGCAAAGCAGTAACACATTGTGACTAACAATGCATCCACTGCCCTATGTGGTCAAATGTTAGTTTGTAGAGTGTGTGTTTTTCATGTAGACAATATAAGCGATTGATGATTGTATTTGCAAAGAATACCACATTTAAATTATGACAATGCTTGCAACAGAGCATTAATATAGCTGGGAAGGCCAAAGTTGATCACCATTACCAATGGGCGAGGTTATTTTGAATCAGCTGTTCAGTACTCAGCTGTGTGTTAATGCCCATAGAGAGTATTTGGCTGCTATAAATGTCCGTACGATAAACTATCATTTGTAACCAGGTCGCTTCTGAAAAATAGCTTAGTGGGCCTTACCTAATAAAAAGCAAAAAAAATCTGACATGCCTTTTTTCTTTGCTCAAATGAAATACCCTGTGACATAATTTACTACAGCAGACCATAGCGTCACATTAAAAGGCAGAAATGGATGTTTTGGATAAACATCAATTAGAAATGCATACAGATTGAATAACGTGTTTGTAGTAAAACGTATTGAGATGTAATATTTAATCAAACACGTTATTTTCGGACCCCATAATTACTTTAACTTGTCCATTTTACAGGAAACATGTGGCTTGATGACTGCTTTTCCGATGGCGACCACTCTTTCTGCACATCTTGTATGCCAGGGAAGAGCTACATGGACATTGCAAACCGTGATCCTCAATGCAAAAAGTGCAGTACCTGCAATATTCTCTGTAAGAGTTCCACATCAGTAGGTCGTATGTGTGTATGTCATCTGAGTGTGGAGATGCATGCATAAAAAGTTAATAAATCACTCTATATTCTTGGTTGTTTTGGTAAAGTCACGTAGAAGGGAAACAATAAAATAATACAAATTTAAAACAATTAAATTCTCACGACGTTTCGACTGCAACACAAGCAATCATCATCAGGTGTGAAAACCACAGCAAAAATCACTCTATGTTAATTAAAACAACTAAATCGATGAGAAAGTGCGTTGGATCACCTTGCAATTCGGTTGAAAGTGTATTGTGGTGGTAAAACATTGTAATAAGAATATAAAGGTCTGTGAAATCTGAGATTGGTTGAAACCATATTGCTTGATAGGCTGCACCCAAGATTCCATCTGTGAATAGACCATAGATGACAAGGGTCGATTCATGAGAAAGGTGGGCTGAGCAAAAACAATCTGAAGTTATTTCATGGAGTCACAACACTCCAAGTGGGACTCGCTTTACTCCACAATTGGCTGGGGTTGGAGTTTGAAGAAATGTGCAGACAGTGGGCTCTAATCTTGGAGCTGATATTTAATCTCAACTTGAGCAGGGTGGTATCCATCTTGTTGCTACATATGACCATTATATCACGAAATTCATGAGAAAGGTCCTCCATCTTAAATAGTAAAAAAATATGTCTGTCAAGATATTAAGCTGCTTGAATGAAGAAGACTGATGATGGCACAGGCAGTTGGAGCTGGCACTTTCCGGTTGCACGGCGGGCCAGCATGGCGACAAGATGGCCTGTCGAGTTTTACACCAATTATCTCCAGAAGTTGCAGCAATTGAAAAGGCAATACACAAAGTGGAAATGTATCTTAAGTTGGTAATGTAGGATTGTCTAAGAACAGGAAAATTTCGATTTAAAGCTTTCGTGACTGCAATGATTAATCTTCTTTGGTTCTTTCGGTAAAGTCACGTAGAATGAGAATAAAATAATAATATGTCTTAATTAAAAGGAGACATGATGGTTCAATGAGCCACTCTGTCTACAGGAAAGCTACCCATACAGATGCTTACTTGAAACCGAATTCCCACTACCATCCATCCCAGAAGAACTCCCTCATCAAGACTCTATACCATAGAGCCCAATGCATTTCCGACCAGGAACACATTACCAGTGAACTCAAGCACGTACACCAGGCTCTCAGGGCTAATGGTTACTCCGACTACACAATCCGCAAAGCCATCACTCCAGTCATGAAGAAGGATCCTCTTGTGGAGCCACTCAAAACCATCACCTTACCCTACATTGCAGGGGTCACTAAAAAGATCTCCAAAATCCTGAATAAACACAAGATCCAGGTCCGATTCAACACAGTACATAAAATCCGTGATTTACTTCCATCTGTAAAAGATGCTGTTCCAGACATACAGTACCCGGGCGTTTACAAACTAAAGTGCCTCTGTGGTAGTAGCTACATTGGAGAAACCAAACGACATATCTCGGACTGCATCCGCGAACATAAAGCAGACTTGAAACACGGTAGGACGAACTCCTCTGCCGTGGCAGATCACTGTTATAATTCAGTGGGCTCACATGACATTGACTTCTCCAAGACGGAGGTTCTTTGCAAACCAACCAGCTACCATGAGAGATTCGTTCATGAGGCCATTCACATATACAAGCACAGAGACAATTTCAACCGAGAAGATGGATTCTGGCTTAGTAACCATTGGAAAGATGTTTTAAACCATTTCTGTTCTTAATTAATTGTATTTTACGATGACCTTCAGACCGCAGCTCTTTCCCCAGCATTGACTCTTAATACCTCTCACACCACGGTTAATGGTATGGTTTACAACATGGAGTATAATAGCGCCTCGCAGCTGTCTCTCTCCCCCTCCTCTGTTCCGACCATGGATGAACTCATCCGTCTGAACGGGGCCCGTAGCTATCCGTGGTGCTAAAGTTGAGGGTAAGAATCCACCCATTTTTTTGCCATATAGCATTGTGATATATAACGACTTATTGTTGGTAGCTTAGCTGATTGTAGAATATAGAGTTTATTGATAACATTAAGGTAATTTATATTTTTTTTTTATTGGTTCACTATATAGTACTGTGAATAGCTCAGATGTGGTGGCCTTGACTTCAACATAGTCATTTCTGTGGCCAGTCACTAGCTAATCACTCAGTTATTTCAATGCTAAATTCGCCTAGTTATTTCAATGCTAAATTCTCCTGTTTGATTTGTACTAAGTGCCTCGGTGAATGTGTATGCTCTGACTTTAACGTAGCTATTTCTGTGACCAGTTACAAGCTAATCACTCAGCTATTTCAATGCTAAATTCTATGCTAATTCCTTTGTCAAGGGGTGCCTCTGCGGATGTGTATGCTTTAACTTAGCTATTTCAATGCTAAATTCTATGCTAATTCCTTTATCAAGGGGTGCCTCTGCGGATATGTTTGCTTTAACTTTTAACATAGCTATTTCTGTGACCAGTCACAAGCTAATCACTCAGCCATTTCAATGCTAAATTATATGCTAATTCCTTTGTCAAGGCGCTTTGTTTCCTCTCACACAGCTTAAAGGTCGTGATCTGAACGTGGCTCTTTCACTCCTGCGCTGTCCTACCAGACAATCTCGTCCCTTCACCTGATGAAGGCCGCTTGTGTTGTGGCCGAAACGTCGTGAGAATATTATTGTGTTATTTTATTTTATCAATTTATTATTTTATTCTCATTCTACGTGACTTTACCGAAAGAACCAAAGAACAGGAAAATTATTTAAAAATACGAAAAGCTAAAATTAAACCATTAAAGAAGGATTAACACACGCACAGGAATCTTGAGAGAGAAATCATATACACAGATGATGTCACTGGAAGCCTTATCACTTCCTATTTTAGAGTTGAGATTAATATGTCCTTGTTAGTCACAACTCACCTAAAATGTCCAGAATATCAGTCAATAGGGTCCATGGCAGCATCTACTAAGCCACTATCTCCATTAAAACAATGAAATGCTGGCAGATTACAGGCAATGTCACGCGGATAAATTATTTTTTATCATCTTTTTTTCTTATACACATATCGCCACAGGTGAGACGAGATTAGATAAACTCACCTCATGTCGCCTCGGTTATAATTCCAATAATTGTTTGAGTTGACCTGCGGTGAGGCATGCATTATCGAATGCCATGCTACAGGTAAATGTGACCCACTGTGATTATAATGAACAAAGAATAGCTCCTCTCATCCATACATTCGAATCAGAATCTTAATTTCCACTGAAGGAATCCGATTAGCTTTGAAGTTCCTTTTCACAGATGTCTAGGAGGGGCGGATCAGCAAGTTACAACAAAGATTCGTTTATCAATTACCCTGTTCTCCAAGCCATCAAATATTATACAAGTTCCATCGTATTACCAAATTGTAATGTACACTATGCTAAAGTTATAGCTACTTGGGACATGTTGCCAAGACCAACATTTTGTACATTAAACAAACAGTACAGTATAAATTTCGATTTAAAGCTTTCGTGACTGCAAGGATGCATCTTCTTTGGTTCTTTCGGTAAAGTCACGTAGAATGAGAATAAAATAATAAATTGATAAAATAATATCATTGTGTTATTTTATATTATCAATTTATTATTTTATTCTCATTCTACGTGACTTTACCGAAAGAACCAAAGAAGAAACAGTACAGTACTGCAATTAAACTAAGTTTCCTTTTGTTCTCTGATGTGTAGATGAAGATGTTCAACAGGACTGTACTGTCACTAGTGACACTGCGTGTCAGTGTAAGGATGGATACAGTCGGCCTCATCCTTCACAGCCTTGTGGAGTTACATCAAACACAGGTGAGAAATTTCATATTCGTCTCTATCGCCTCTGATACCAAGATATTCAATTAAGAGCGATTGGCATCAGGAAATGCACAAACTTGCAAATGGTAAAGAATTTACACATCTTGGACGTCATTGAAATCTTGTCAGTCGGGCTGTTTCGAGTATTAAGGTACCAGGCAGAGCTTCGTACTTGCCCCATTATTATGCATTTATTAACTGACATGCCACACACATCGGAGAAATGTATACACATGATATTTCCCTTACTACACATGTGTGAAGTCTCTTCCTTCACCAAGGACCAAACCGTGAATATTTCAGACATTGGCAACTCCATACAAGACCATGGCTACAGCATTCCATTGGAACAATTAGCTAGTAATTGCTGAACCAAATGTCTATTTGCAGCAAGGAAGTCTATAATCAGCCATTGCTAAAATATTTTGGGGGTACTGTTGATCGAAACCAGATCTACCATTGAAGATTGATGAAAAAATGTAACCTTATCGAGAAACTTACAGACACTAGTTGGAGAGCAGATGTGCTTACACTACACATTCATCTTATACCTGTTTTATATTTGCACATCCGAGCTATGCTGGGGCCATGCCATGGCAGCGTGGCATGAGATACTTTTCCACTGCACAAGTTGACCCATGCCATTGTTGTCACATGCAATTCTGGATATCAAAACGACTGTCGATGACGCAGTTATACTGAGTTGTGCTGACTGATTTCACGCTAGTTGTGAATCAGACATGCACACACAAGTATACTTTACACAACACTCTGCGCTCCTCTTTGGGCTAAGAGGTACCACACCAACGAACATCTTAAACATTACAATGAGGATTGTCACCAGCAAAATAAAGTTAACTATTTTACTCTGGCTCTCTGTGCTATAGAACATGTCTCTTATAGATGTCTGCAAACAGCAAATAAATACTCATGATTACAGCTGAATTTAATCAATCCTAACCTGCCCATCTAAAAAGCTCGAGAAATATATTAAACTACTGCTTGAGATCGTGCAAGTCAAAGCCTTTATATTTGAGTTTCAGCACATCAAATAAATGGCGAAAGATTTGTGTGAATACTAGTATGATTAAGAAGCATCGGATTGCTGATCCCTCTAAAAAGAGATTTCATCTTCCTTAAAAACAGTAGTTTACATTAAACCAGAAGAATGTAAATCATGGTAGATCAGCACTACTACTTTCACAAGTACAAATTGAAGACCATGGCATGCAATTGCAGAAACGTCGATCATATAGTGAACCAATGACCTCTAAAAATGCAAAACATGCTTTAAAGAAATCCACTGCCCATCAACTGAAGGCTATTCATAGCTAATTAATTTAGACTAATTAATTTAGAGATTTGTGAGTTGCTATTCATTCAGATACATGAAAGAGAAAGAATGGGAGGACAATTATTCAGAATGACAACAGGTGGAAAAAACTTAGCAATGGTACATTAATCTAGGTGGTACATCAATAGTACATCAACCTAGACAAAGATGTCAAGACATTTATTTTATAACACGCGACTATCTATTGTGATTAGAATTTCTGAATATTTACTGGATCTGGACAGGACCAGTTCAGATGGCAGTGATGCTTGCCGTGGCTGGTAACAAACTCGCATTGCCAGGGTCATGGGACATTGCGCAAACCACTGCACCACCTTTGCTCCCCCATTCCTATGTCAATCTACTGTGCTTCAAGTATTAAACTGGTTGATTTTCTGATGAAGTGCTCATGCTATGTTTGTCATAATAATGAGCCAGCATAGCCGAGATTGTGGATTGTATACCCCAAGCGCAAATGGTTGCAGGTGGATGGTTTGGAGGTGATCCTCCTTCCAACTTGCGTTTTGCAGTTCAGACAATCCATGCAGTTTCTCAAAAGAGCTCAGCGCGGGTAAAACATTTCGAATATTATGGCTACATAGATATGAATTCAATTACTTAACCGTACAATCTGAAATAATAAAAAAAATCAAGCACAGTGTTTTTCACACTGCAAGGCACCATTCTGAAGATCCCATTGGAGTTAAAATCAGGTTATTCTGTGTTCTTGCACAATTGTAAAAATATGTTTTCGTATTTTTTTGTGGATTGTGTGTAATCGACAAACGAAACCAAAATTCAGACTTAATTTGAAGCTTTCGTGACTGCAGGAATTACTCTTTGTTTTTTTCGGTAAAGTCACTTATAAATAAGAAATAATAAAATAGCATAATAGTGTACGACGTTTCGGTTGCAACACAAGCAGCCATCATCAGGTACAGAAGAGCTAAATTTAGGAGAGAGGGGAAACACATAACCTCAGATGTATATACAGACACCCAAGTAGGGGGAACTGACACAGATACAACAGGGGACACAGAGAGAGAAGCATACCAGACAAACAGGGTTTAGCAAAATTTTTGGAACCATGTAAAGCAACACAGACGGTCGGTCAAAACACAATTAACGCATAGTCCGGTTGACCACGTTATTTCAAAGATTGCTAAATTGAAAGTTAAGTATGAAACTCAAAATACAGACCGCACACACACACACACAGACATCCAAGAAGAGCGAACCAGCACAGAGACAAGCACACAGTAAAGTCGCCTTAAATAGGCAGCGAAGGTAAGGCTGAGAGACAATGGAACAAAATTAGCATGAGGTATGCATGGAGCAGAGTGGGGGGCGGCAGCACACAATGGGACAAATCAGCATGAGGTAGTGGGGATCGACAGCACCCACTCGGAAGCAACAAGGCCCATACACAGGCAGAGACAGCACAGAGACACAAATCCAAGCCAAGACACAAAGTGCGCAATAAGTTCAACATATGTGGATCATGGGTGTTATATTATAAAACCGTACTATGCTGGTTAGTGGGGGGTTGCTGAAGAGGGGTTGCATAGATTCAAAGTACAACAACAAATCTTGCTACCATGTCTCTTGTTTCCCACCACAGCATGTTAAAAATAATATATACTTTGATCCATCAGGCTTGCTTGTGCATATGTACTTCATGAAGCAGATCACTACAGCAAAGCTAATGTAGTGTGGAACTGACCAGTTATAACAATGTTTGTGGATAGCTCTTGCCTACAACATCTAGCTGTCTGGCATTTGTTTAATTGGCCACACTGCTGATGAGACTACACTTATAAACCATCCCCCAAGTTTGCTACTTAAATACATGTTACTAGACAACATTGCTCCCAAATTTAAATTTGTTGATGCACTGATATAAAAGCATAGGCACTGGTGTCGATGTAACATTATTTCAGAGGGTGTTATGCAATAGCCTTGGCATTTAATTGTATATGTCAATATATATGCTGAATGTTTATCCTCTGCCTTTTGCTGCCTGCAGAAAAAAACATTGCAATTCCTGCTGGAATTGGGACCTTCATGCTTCTGGTGGTGGTGGTGGCCTTATTGATTTATCGGAAGAAGAAATGCTTATACCCCTTTGGTAAGAAACATTACAGCATTTTACGTAATTTTCATTGTTTAATAATGAGACGAATTCTTCCACGAGTGGCCCAGCTGTGATTCATGAGACAACAAATCAGGGCTGTAGATTAATTGGAAGACTTCCCAGTGCACATCACAAAAACTTGAAGGGAAATGGGCAATGTCCAAGATAAGACTAAGCAGTAATCCTGCTTATTACAATGTTATTGAGCAGCATTTGAATCATGCAAAATATTCACTTAAGATTCTAGTCAACAATTACACTGTATAACATTTTTATTCCCCTTGGTATTAAGTGTTATTTCCAAATTGCTTATGCCTCCATACACTTTGCTTTTGTGACCAGGACAGTGATATTTTGAAATTTTCCAGAACATTATTGATAGATTCAGTGCTGAGTAAACTTGGAGTAACTTCTAGAACATTCTAGAACTTTCCAGTAATATAAATAGAAGCCTTGAGACCACTAGTTCAGTTTAGTTCCAGTGGCCTAAGTGAATACATATCTGCATTTTTCTGAGATGGCATCAAGAGGCTGCAAGAATCCAGCAGACGCATTTTGCTATGTCTGCGGCCAATTTATCAAGACAAGAGCAAAAAAGTGCTCTGTGGAAGCATCTGCTAAGATGTGTGAGGCCTACAAGGCATATTTTGGCATGCCTGTTGGGGATCAAGACAAACCCTGGGCACCTCATTTCACCTGCGAGCAATACAAAAAAACTCTGGAAGATAAGATGGACAATTATTGCTCGGAAATTTAAGTTATTACATTTGTTATTTTTTTTATAAATTGTAAAAAAATTATAATGTTTTACAGTTTTCGATTTTATTGAAAAAATATATCATATATGAAAAATGTTGTGAGAATCTCTTACACATTAGTCACGCGTAAAATCCACTGACCACTCAAGCAACTGCTACTTCTGCATAGTGGACCCTTCCAAATATCCGGACCTTCCTTCATCCATCGCCCCGGTTCCACACTGCCATGAGCTCCCCGTACCCACTCCTCCGGACAGAGAGCAGCGGTCTTGAGAACAGAGCAGCAAGTAAGAGAGCGAGGTAGATGTTGTAGATCCAGATGACAATTTCAGAGGTGGAGCTGAGGAGAGAAACCCATACTACCCCAACGAAAGATACCTCAACGACTTGATCAGAGATCTTGGTCTCACCAAGTCCAATGCCGACCTTTTGACGTCTAGGCTCAAGCAGTGGAACTTGTTGGATGAAAGTGTGCAAGTCGCAGAACAACGTCAAGTGGGAGCCACTGATGGACCCCCGGAAGGTGCTGATGCCACCACTGCACATCAAATTGGGCCTTATGAAACAATTTGTCAGAGCTGTAGATAAGGAGTTGGCAGCCTTCAAGTACCTTCAAGACTTCTTCCCTAAGCTGTATGAGGCAAAGGTCAAAGCCGGTATCTTCGTAGGACCACAAATAAAGAAGATCCTGGAGTGCAATGAATTCCCCAAGAAGCTCACTAGTAAGGAGAAAGCGGCTTGGAACAGCTTTGTCGTAGTGGTTCGTGGCTTGCTGGGCAATTACAAGGTCGAAAACTATGTGGAGCTGGTTTAGACTCTGGTGAAGAACTACGGCACAATGGGCTGTAGGATGTCCCTCAAAGTCCATATCCTTGATGCTCATCTTGTTAAATATAAGGAGAACATGGGAGCGTACTCGGAGGAGCAAGTTGAGCGCTTCCACCAGGATATACTTGACTTTGAATCCCGCTAACAAGGACAGTATAATGAGAACATGATGGGAGACTTAATTTGTAGGCTGATTCGTGAAAGTTATTTACAGTATAATCATGAATCTCGAAAAACTACTCTCTTCTAAATATTTTGTAGTAATTGTTGTCTTGCTTTACTATAAATACATGTAATTTTGATTCATATGTTGTTTTTTTCTGACTTTATGTGAACAAAAATACACATTAGCCCGTATTCTCATTGAAAATAGGTACATTTCTAAATATCACTGTCCTGGTCACAAAAGCAAAGTTTGTGCGGAATAATAGGCATTTTCTATACTTTTTAGGCATCAGCAATTACGAAATAACACTTACTACCCAGGAACAAAAATTGTCTTACATAGTGTTATGAATGGGATGCATCTCCACATAGACACCACTATGTTCGTATAATAATTATATGGTGTTGATTTGTTTCAATGTTTCCTTGTTCATGCTTCACAAGACTCTTCAACATAACTAACTTCAACAAAATGTCACCAGACTTCCACCTAAATATTTCAAAAACACAAAATATCACGCAACTATACATGTGTAGTGTCTTAAAAAAATACTCACATCGACACGTTGTAAAAAGTCCCTTGCTTACACTTTATTCACCTGTTTTTGCGCCAGTTATTGGCACTCCTATAACTATCTGTACGGTCACATATACTTAACTTCTCCCCGCTCTCTTATTTATTCTGCACGTTACTTATCCTGCACTCAGCAGCTCTGCTCTCAGCGACTCCGCACACAGTGACGTCGCACTCAGCGACTCTGTACACAGTGACTTCGCACTCAGCGACTCTGCACACACCGTCTTCGCACTCAATGACTCCGCACACAGCGTCTTCGAACTCAGCGACTCTGCACACAGTAGCTCCACAGTCAACGACTCTGCACACAGCAACTTCGCATCTCCACCGCTGCCCTCACCTATGCTCCCTCAGACCTGCTCACCCGTCTGTCCCGGGCAGGGGGTTCAGCCAACACCCGCCTGGTGACGGCGTGAAGGTTAAGGTCCCATTGATGGCTAGAGCGGCAGTGGCGAGATGTCTTCACTCTTGGTTCCCGGCAACAACTCCCCTCGTTCACAAACACTCCCGCTTACAGTATATCCCCCTGCTCATCCCGAGTCCTCACGTGCTTACACTTTAGCTGCCGCCAGGCCGGCGCCAATTATCCCATTAATCTCTTATCATCACCCCCCATATCCCATCTCCTAGGTGTCAACCTCCGGTCACAGTGTAGCATCTGTTCGACCTCGGTTGCACCCGCTTCTCCCCTTAATTACTGGCGGTTTGTCTGTGCAAACCTCATTCTGCAAAGCACACACCTGTTTGCCCTCCGTTGCATCCGCTTAACTGCGTGCACCGCATATTTCTCTCCTCTACATATGCTTTACGGCAACACCCAAATTACCTATTCAATAGGACCTTCAGAACCTTACAAAGTATAGATTAAGATCCTGGAACCCAATTTGAGATCGAGCATAAGCTCTCAAAGTGCCCTCATTCAACTTTGAGTCCCGGGAGTGAGTAACCTGCAACACTGCCGAAGTTCTTAACTAGCATGGAATCACTGAGTCCACAGAAGAAACTACCAATTACAATTTGCCCTGCAAAAAATTGTCTGTATTTAATTGAATCGGAACATCATATGGCAGATGTAGCTATATTATGCACTGAAAATTTAAGAATAGCACGCAGTGTGATAGCAGACACAAATCTCAAACCTTGGAGCACATAGTCTGGCACTACCTGCTTTTAAAATACACTTGTAGGATTTCAGATAATCATCAGGCTATTCCTGCAACCGTTCACTGGTTCAGCAACCTCGACATAAATTTATCTTCCACCCGTACAATGCTACTCTACAATGTAATGTACATTGATACTGTGATCCAAGTGTTGGGTCGTAGAACCACGTGGAGACGAGGAATGCTGTAAGGGCTGTTGCCGTTTATTAACACTGTTACATTTGTAATAAACGACTTCCATGATGACTCTGGATTGGTGGCTTTTATTTAACAGAATGTCTCCACAGCTCTGCTCTCTCCATCCGGATGGCTTCCCTCTCTCTCTCTACTGCCGTGACGCGCACTCTCCCTCTTCCACCATCGTGGCGTGTGGCGTGTCTCTCTCTCTCTCTCCACGCTCGCCGCTGGCTGGCGGCGCATTGAGAGGAGAGAAGGCTTCACTGGCAGAGCCCGCCACGTGGCCGGTGGCGAGTAGAGGTAGGCGATGATGCAGTCCGGACTCCAGGCTCCCCACCTGACCAAGATTCCACTCACTGTCTCTCCTTATATTGCTCTCGGCGGAGCTAAGCTCCGCCTCAAGCCATGCCCCCTCGTGGAACCTTCCCGATGGTTCCTGTACAAACCCACAAGCTCCGCCCTTTGGCCCAGATGGAACCCATCCTTCTGATCGGATATTAGTTACCCAGCAGTGACTATGCAATTAACCCTCGTCGTTCCTTAGATGGCGCTCTCTCATTACACATTCAACACTATAAACTCACACCAGAGGTAGGTGCTCTCTAATTTGGTCCTTATCCCGGACCCCCGAACCTATCTTGTCCTTCCCTCGGCTATCCTTTTGGGGCTCTCTCACTCGTCTGGCGAGAGCGGGGGTTCATTCAACATCGCCTGGCGCCGAGGAGAGAGAAACCCTCCTTCTCAGCCGATCCTTACTGAATACTCGGAGCCTTACACTCGGCTATTCCCTTGGCTCTCCCACCCATCTGCCTGGGACGGGGGTTTAGCCAACACCGCCCGGCGATGAAGAGGGAGAGACCTCTTGCAGCCGATCCTTGCCCTGGCTCCCCACAACGACTACGCCTTCGTCATGGGGTCCCCCTTAAGTACCCCTTTGGTGGCTCCTCCCCCTAGCTCGGACCCACCTTTGTTCCGGAAGGTACCTCTTACACCACCCGTGACATGACGTCATCTTTGACTAACAACCCGCTTCACACTTCCCTCTGTTCGCCCCCTTATCGCTGCTCACAATACTCCTCTGCATCACCCCTCCCCATAAAAAAAATCAGCCGTCCCGGCTGCTAACTATACTGAACCCAACACATATCGGGGTCAATAGCAAACAGCCAGAAACATCAACAAGAACAATTCTAACAATAATAACAATGTCAATGGAGGTGCGAAGGCAGGGCCGTCTGTGGGGGAACATCAAGGGTGTTTAAGGCAGAACGGCAAGTGCAAGGAAGGCTTCCATCCCTCGGTCCAAGGTGCCGACCACGTCAGTGA